GTGACTCCCACCCGCTGACCAGGTATGCGTCTTTCTCTCCCCTGCAGATTCAAGAACAGAGCACACAGAGCAGTCTCTGCTTTGCCGCTGCTGAATACGTGGGCGTTGGTTTTGAAGTCCCTCTTACTCCTCACCTCCCCAGAGACCACATCCCCGCAAGGTAGGCCCTGAACCAAGGCCTCCTGCCAGGGCAAGGATGTGGCTGGAATTCCCCAACCCTCCCCTCCCAGAGTATCTGCACTCACCCCACCACCCTGGCAGAAGGCAAAGTAGGCACGGTTTCTGGTCTGAACACTCTTGAACTTGCTGTGACTTTGCTGCAGAGTGGGCGGGTGGGGGCCTTCTGACTGGCGATGGGGACAGGTGTGGATTAAGAGCTGTATACCTCCGTATGTGTTCGAAGGTACTAAGGAGTCTTGGCTGTTCTGAGCATTAGTTTCCCTAGCTGCTCTTCCCTGTAGATAACTTTCTAGTCCAAGGCCTGCCCTGAGCAATGTCGCCTGCAGGCAGCTGTTAGAGCAGTCCTGTGCCCAGGACAACCCCAGGCCTGTCACACAACACTCTGCCTTTGCCACGGCCGTGGAAGGGTGGGAGCCCTTCTGCTGAGCCCCCGGGCTTTTGCAGACACCCCAAGCTTGACAAGCCCTGCCGGCCTGCAGACCGTCAGTCCTAGGGATTCCCACAGTTGCATCTGACAGCTGTTCCCCAGCAAAGGGAGCCCCACTGCCTGGGTGCCTCCTTACAGCCACTTCTGGTGTTAAAAGTCTGAGATCTGGAGCTAGACTGTCTGGGTTTGAATCTCAGCTCTCCTGCTGCCTAGCTGCATGACCCCTTGGACTCTGGAGCCTTAGTTTCCCCATCTGTTAAGATGGAGGTGAGAGCAGTGCTAACCACATGGGGCTGTCATGAAGATTAAATAAACAGTTTGTTTAAAAATCGCAGCTCTGGCTGTGCATGGTGGCTCACGCCTGTAATCCCAGCACTTTGGGAGGCCAAGGTGGGTGGATCACTTGAGGTCAGGAGTTCGAGACCAGCCTGGACAACAAGGTGAAACCCCGTCTCTAATAAAAATACAAAAAAAATTAGCCTGGCAGGGTGGCAAACACCTATAATCCCAGCTACTCAGGAGGCTGAGGTAGAAGAATCACCAGGGGGCAGAGGTTGCAGTGAGCCGGGATCTCCAGCCCTGGTAACGGAGCAAGACGATGTCTCAAAAAAAAAAAAAAAAAAAAAAAAAAAAAAAAATCATAGCTCTATCCATTCCCTTTTGCTCCAGCTGCTTGCGGCAGACGGCTGCAGAGGTACCCATCACCCCAACACATACGCCCAGCCTCCAGCATGACCAGCGTCAGCATTCTGCAACCCATACCCCAGTGGGCCACACCCCTGTTAAAACCCTTCTCCCCTCACATCATCCCTGTAAGAAAGAGGGGGTTCTCATTGTAGAGATGAAGAAACGGGGTTCTCGGGGGGGAGGTGACTAGCCCGCCACACACTGGCCACCACATAGCGGTGGGCCTGCTGTGTGTCAGACGCCAGGCGGGAGGGTCCAGGGCCACAGAATGGGTAAGAGGGGAGGCTGGGTACAGTGGCTCATGCCTGTCATCCCAACACTTCGGGAGGCCAAGGATGGCGGATCACTTGAGGTCAGGAGTTTGAGACCAGCCTGGCCAACATGGTGAACCCACGTCTCTACTAAAAATACAAAAATTAGCCAGGCGTGGTGGTGCAAGCCTATAATCCCAGCTACTCAGGAGGCTGAGGCAGGAGAATTGCTTGAACCCGAGGTGGAGGTTGCAGTGAACTGAGATTGCACCATTGCACTTCAGCCTGGGTGACAGAACAAAGACTCTCTCAACCACAAACAAACAAACAAAAAAGAGGGGTATGGAGCCAAGTTCCAGGTTGGTCGCTTTCTGAGACCTGTTTCTAGTGATCTCCCCTTACAAGGGCACAGTGAGAGGACACACAGTCCCTGTTTCGGGAAAGGAGATGCCGGCCTTTAGAGGATGCGGCACACTGAGAGGCTGGGGGTGGGCAGGGGAATTCACAGAAGGGCTCCTCAGGAAGTGGGGGTCAGACGAGCAGGGAGTGGGGGCCAGGACAGCAAGCTAAGCCAGGCCGTGGGGGCTCAAGAGGCAGACTCAGTCTCCTTCAGGAGTGCCCAGTGCTGGACAGTTCCTGGATGGGCTCTGCAGGTGGAGAGCAGGCTGGGCTGGTTCCAGCTGCACTGGCCCTGCTCACTCCCACCACCCCACCCTGCCTCTCTGGGGTTGCAGAGCAGAGGTCCCTCACTTCTCCAGCCTTGGCCTGAGATGCTCAGCCCCTTCCACTCCCCCAGTGCCGTAAGTCTCACGTGGGTCCTGGCCCAGTCCCTTAAACCTACGGGATGCCCCTTTAGTCCCCAACAACTCATCCCACCCAGCTACCTTCTGGCTTTTCCGGGATACACATACCAGTGCCTCCTGAGACCTTGGGTGGCACCCCTAAAGTCTGAGCATCCCTCAACTCCGGACACTGCAGGTGTCAATAAAGCTTCCCCAGGCCTTTCTCTGGGCTCAGCTCCCAGCCTGGCTGATCACCAGGTTCCTCAAACTCACCACATCCGAGTTCTAATACATGCTCTTCCTCCAGCTCCTGCTTGTCCTCTGCACGGAGCCTAACCATGCAGCCGGGCACTACCCCACCTACTTCCCCTCTTCTGCCCCAATAGCAGGCAGGCATCTGAGCCCATGGAGGCCTTCAGCATGCTCCTTGACCCTGGCCCCACCTCCCCCCTTGTCACCTGCCCCTCCACCACGCCACATGGCTGTGGCCCATCTCTTCCACCAGACCATGAGTTCCTGACTGGATGTCCTCCCCCCACTCCCTGGGTGGGCGCTATCCTCAGATGGGCCGGAAGTATGGGGCCCAAACCCTGCTTCACCCAGAGGAACCAAAAGGTGCTTCACACCCACATAGTGATGCTCGGCCTTGCTCTGCCCAAACAGGTGTGGGCTGTGACCTCGTGTTGAAGGGGTCACACCTGCTATCCCCCTAGACAGAGCATAGCCATAAAACACCCAGCCTGGTGAGCGGGGAAGAGAAACCTCCCCAGGCCCCAGAGCTCTGACCAGCCCCCTGGCCTCATCTGGACTGTGAGAAAGAGTGGCAGGCCTCTACACGCGACCCTAGCCCCATGAAGACAACCGCCAGCAGGCCTGACGTCCCGAAACCCCAAATTCCCTGCAACCCAGGCTGAGTAGATAGGGCAAGAAGTGCCAGGCTGTTGTCAGAGAGGAGTTGCTGGGAGGCCTGGTTTGTTGGCTGCAGGACTTCGGGCCAGTCATTTCCCCTCCCTAACTGTGTGGGGATAATAATAGCACAAAACCCACAGTGTTGTTGTGAAGATGACATGAACAGCAACCCTGACACCCTTAGCTTGGCACAAGTAAGTTCGAAAGAGCTCAGTCCTGGGAAGCCCAGGATCACCTGGGGACCCACCTCCAAGACCCCCAAGGGAAGCCCACCCGTGGGCATCCTCCCTAGGAGACCCACACTAAGTAGGGAAGAGGGGTTTAGACGCTCGGAACAGATTTTTTTCACAAAAAGGGTAAAAAGAAAAGTGTGTGCATTCCAGCATCAGAAGCCAGCCCGCAATGGGGTAGGGCAGGGCTGTTCTTGGATGTTCGTGGAACAGACCTCTAAGGAAGTGGCTGGTGGGAAGGAAACTGCCTCTGAGACCCCCCCAAAAACCGTGATCTACACTAGCCTAAAAGTAGTGCCACCACCGCCACAGCCAGACCCCCCCAAAATCCCTGGAACTGAAAAGTTCTAGGCTACTCTCCCAACCTCTTCCTGCATGGAGTGGCCAGGAGAGAAGGGATTGGGAGAGTTCAAGGTGGGGCAGAGTAGGGGGGGGCTCGCCTCAAGAGGCAGTCAAAACCTCTTGGGGAAACCACACCCCCTGTCCCCTGTCCTCCCAGAGGAGCTCCAGGGACCTCTCTGAGATGCAACTCCTGTGGGTCCCTTAGCCAGGAGGCAGGCAGCACCATCATTTTACAGGGTAGGTAATGTTGGCTCGAGGGCATTGGTAGGGCTCCACCCAGGTCTGACAGCCTAGCCTGAGGCTCTCCCTTGCACCAGCTGAGCAGCGACCCTGATGCCCTTAGCTTGTGCACGTAGATCCTGGCTTATTCGTGTTCGGGGTCTCGGCTGGGGCTGCCCGGTCTGCCCTGCGTGGCTCCTGAGAGGCCCTAGTCACTGCAGACTTCCCTCCCTAAAGGCCTCCACTTCGGGAATGCGGGGTCCGGGATGCGTCCCTGCCTTTGCCTGGCCTCAGCCCGCTGGGCTGGCGCGGTTCCGGCCCGCGCTGCCCGCAGGTTCATCAATGGCCGAGGCCCAAGGGCCTGAATGGAGGGCACGAACCCGCCCCTTCTTAAAGGCGCCGGCCTCCTGGGCACCCTCCACGATCCTCCCGCGACCGGGGAGCTCCCCGGGTGGGCGGGGCAAGAATGGGGGGCCTGGGCCAGAGGGAGGGCGTGCCTGCCCGGAGGCTGTGGCCTGGAGGGGGTCCTTCCGATCCTACACCGTGGCTCTCTCCCTCATTCTAGGTTGACGCCCCCTCCCAGCGCTCCCAGCGTCGGGAAGAGACCTGGGCGCTCCCTCCCCTAGTCAGAGACCCCTCCTCTAAGGGCCCGGGTGCGCTCGCCTCACCACCCGACCCCGGCCCTAGCAGGGGGCGGGGGCGCAGCTGCTCCGGAGGCAGCTCGGCGCCCTCCAGCGGCTCCCCGCCCCGCCCGTGATGGGATCAGGAAGCCGATCCCAGCCGAGGGCGCGTCTCCTCCCTCGCGCGCCCTCGTCCCTCCCACCCGCGCACACAAAGACGACACGCGCGGACCGGGGTGCTTGCGGCCGCTCTCCCCGGTGCAGCGGTGCGCACACAGCGCACGCCCCCGGGGACAGGCGGGGGTCCCGGGGGACGGACCAGGGAACAGGAACCGGGGACCAGGAGGCCATACCTACAGGCGCGCAGCTGCGGCCGAGCGGGCCGGGGGGCCAGCGGAGCGCTGCCCGGACCGCGACCAGGCTCCCCGGGCCCGGTGGCTCATGGCCCGCGGCGGACTGGGCTCTCTCCGGGAGGGAGGCGGCAACGGCGGCGGCTGCTCCCTCTCTCGTCCACCGCCTCGAAGGCTTGTGCGCTCCTTGAGGTCCCGGCGCGTCCCCCTCGCGGCTCTCCGGCGGCCGAGCTCTGCGCGCTCCGAGCCCAGCCCCGCGCGGCGCGCCCCCTGCCCGCAAGGCGCGCGCCTCCCGGCCCCGCCCCCGCCGCGAGCCCCGCCCCGCCCACCTCCCTCGCACCTCCCCGCCCCGCCCCCTCGGCGAGCCCCCGCCCCTCGCGACTCCTGGCCCCGCCCACCGCGCCTCAATGCCCCGCCCCTCCGCGAGCCCCCGCCCCCGCCCGTTTCCCTCGCGCCGCTCAGGCCCCGCCCCCGCCGCGCCCCGCGCCCTCCGCAGAGCCCGAGTGGCGCCGGTGGCCAGCGCTCGTGAGCTCCCCGCGGCGGCGGCGCGGGAACTGCCCGGCCCTGGGGCGAGGGGCTAGGAGCCCGCCTTGAGTCGCCCCATCTGGGTGGGGGGGTCCCCGTGTTGCCGAGCCGGCCCCAGGCCTGGCGCGGGAATCCCCCTCCTCCGCGCGGAGGCGACCCCTCGAGCCCGCGGTGGTGGCCCCGGGAGCGCGGCGCGTGGGGTCGGGGGAATGTCCCGCGCGACGGCTGTGTGGGGACGGACGCCCTCGAAGCGCCTCTCGAAGTGACGGATGCTTCGCGGGAGCCGCCGCTGTGGCCCGACCCTCCGCAGCGGGGACAATGGGAGCCTCGAGGAGGCCTGGATGTCGCAACGGGGGAAGTCAACGTCTGGTTCCCATAAATCCCGAGGGCCCCCTCCCTCCAGCCCACCGGGTGCAGGAAATCGCCCCGGAGCCACAGGAAGGGGGCAGACCCCCACCACCCGACCTTCGCTGTGATGGGGGCCCGATGCCACCCGGAGAGGTGTCAGAGGTCATAGAGGGGGATGAGGAACGACAGCCCTGGCATCTAGCTCAACCCTGCCTGGCTCCAGAACTTGCCCGCATTAGGGCAGAGACAAGTCGGGCTGAGGAACAGTCCTGCTGGGCTTTGCAGGACCCTTGTGGCCTGACCCTTGATGCTGGGGGTGCGGTGGGGAGATTCTGAAAGAGGTACAGGGGCTCAGCAGGCCTGGAAAGGGTCGGAGAGGGGAGGGAGGGCTTCAGCGGGGGCAGAGGAAAGGGAAGGGGGCCGCTCAGAGATGACTCTCATCTCTGCAGATAGCAAGGGGGGACCCCTGGGTGTCTTCTCCCCTCATCTCCCTCCTTGTCCACTATCCCCACCTCTGGAGGCTCTGTCCTGGTCTCCTTGCCAGCTGGAGCTGCCTCCATCCGTCGACCTCCTGAGCCCATACTGACCTCTGACCTTTCCCAAAGCATTTCACAACTAATTTCCCAGGAGGCTGGACAGACAAGAGTTTTTATCCCCTTCTTAGGGACGGAAAGAGCGGGGCTTCCAAAGGTGAAGGTGGAGGGCACAGAGCCCTCACCTGCTGCCCAAAGCCCCGGTGCTGCCCTCCACGGGGGCACAGAAGCCAGGCAGGCCCCTTCCCTGCCCCACACCTCCCCTCTTCCCTCCGCAGGACCAGGCCAGCAGACACTTTAATGAAAGTTTCGGCAGTGGGCAAGCCCTTGGTGGGAGCTGCACATGGGCCTGGATGCCAGGACACCTATGACTGAGGCTGGGAAGAGGCAGGAGGGGGTGCCCAAGAGTGGGAAAGAGGGGGGCTCCATACATGTCCCGGTTGTGGTGTCCACCCTCCCGGGCGAGGGGAGAGCCTGACCTGCAGCACACTAACCTGGTTCAGAGTAGTGGGCCGGACTCCACTGCCGTGATGACCATGGCCAGGGAGGGTCCTGGGATGGGAAGCCATGGGCAGAACAATAGCTCGGATCCATCCCCAGAGAAGAGGAAGTGAGGAGGGCTGGCGGCAAAGAGCCTCGGACCCAGAAGGAGGAACTGATGGAGATGTGGAAGTGGCTGTGGGGGTGGAGGGGGCGTGGTTGGCCAAGAGTGGCCGTCACTTAGCTGGGGATAGGAACAAGGGTCGCGGAGGACAGGCCCATCCAGGGTCCCTGAGGGCAGGAGGCTCGGGGGAGGGGGTTTGGATGAAGTCCCAGTGGGGGAGATGATGAGGGGTGCTGGGAGGGGGACCCCAAAGAAAGGCCCCTGGATACACACGCGTTAGACTGTTAAGAACTAAAATGAAGACAGAGGGCCAGGCGCAGTGGCTCACGCCTGTAATCCCCGAACTTTGGGAGGCCAAGGCGGGCGATCACTAGGTCGAGATCGAGACCGTCCTGGCCAACATAGTGAAACCCCGTCTCTACTAAAAATACAAAAACTAGCTGGGTGTGGTGGGCACCTGTAGTCCCAGCTACTTGGGAGGCTGAGGCAGGAGAATCACTTGAACCTGGGAGCCGGAGGTTAGAGTGAGCCAAGATCATGCCACTGCACTCCAGCTTGGCAACAGAGTGAGGCTCCGTCTCAAAAATAAATAAATAAATAAATAATAAAAAGTAAAATAGAGACAGAGGTAGCACAGGGGGCTCTGGCGTGGTGGGCTGCAGTGCGGGACCTGGGTTTACAGCCAGCCTTGTTGGCCACCTGGATGATGAATGGGTTAATGCACCCGCTCCAGACCCAGCGAATGCGCTTCTCCATCTGGGGCTGGGCTGGAGGTAAGGTGGCCCAGAACCTGTGGCTCAGGGGGGCTCCCAAGCGAGGCTGGTGCTCAGGGCGACTGGTGGGCCTGGGCTCTGCAGCCCCTGGCAATTGGCGGCCCATGGGAAAGGGGAGCAGAGAAAGGGAAGCAAAGATTCCCCGGGAACTGACGTGGACCAAGACACGTCACACACCCACCCACAGACCAACAGGTGGTTTTTTTGTTTTTGTTTTTGAGAGTCGCCCAGGATGGAGTGCAGTGGTGAGATCTCGGCTCACTGCAACCTCCGCCTCCTGGGTTCAAACGTTTCTCCCGCCTCACCCTCCCGAGTAGCTGGGATTACAGGCATGCACCACCATGTCCAGCTAATGTTTGTATTTTTTTTTTTTTTTTTTTAGGTGGAGTTTCACTCTCCTTACCCAGGCTGGAGTGCAATGGCGCGATCTCGGCTCACCGCAACCTCCGCCTCCTGGGTTCAGGCAATTCTCCTGCCTCAGCCTCCTGAGTAGCTGGGATTACAGGCACGCGCCACCATGCCCAGCTAATTTTTTGCACTTTTAGTAGAGACGGGGTTTCACCATGTTGACCAGGATGGTCTCGATCTCTCGACCTCGTGATCCACCCGCCTCGGCCTCCCAAAGTGCTGGGATTACAGGCTTGAGCCACCGCGCCCGGCGCTTTTTTTTTTTTTTTTAGACAGAGTTTCGCTCTTGTTACCCAGGCTGGAGTGCAATGGCGCGATCTTGGCTCACCGCAACCTCCGCCTCCTGGGTTCAGGCAATTCTCCTGCCTCAGCTTCCTGAGTAGCTGGGATTATAGGCACGCACCACCATGCCCAGCTAATTTTTTGTATTTTTAGTAGAGACGGGGTTTCACCATGTTGACCAGGTTGGTCTCGATCTCTTGACCTCGTGATCCACCCGCCTCGGCCTCCCAAAGTGCTGGGATTACAGGCTTGAGCCACCGCGCCCGGCCAATGTTTGTATTTTTAAGGAGAGGGGGTTTCACCATGTTGGCCAGAATGGTCACGAACTCCTGATTTCCAGTGATCCACCTGCCTTGGCCTCCCAAAGTGCTGGGATTACAAGCGTGAGCCACCGCACCAGGCCCGGGTGGTTTTTGAATAAAGGAATGAGCTTCCCTTTTTGATGGTGTTGTCGGCTCAAAAGCACTCAGACACCGGATCTCTTCTTCAGCAGAGCTCTGAACGTACTCATGGAATTCCTGGAGATGCGAAGAGGGGGAGGGATGTCCTGTGTGTCCCACTGTGAGGCCAGCCCCAGCTCCCAGAGGTGGCACTGCAGGTGTCCCCACCAGCCTCCTGTCCCCCCAGCGTCCCAGAGCACAGGGCACCCGGGTGGCTGCAATCATGGTTTATTTCAAATGTGCAAAGCTAAATACGCAACTGCAAATCTAACTTAGGAAGGTCTACCAGTGGCCCTGAGAGGTGGCTGCGCTAGGGTGGCCCACAGCCAGTTCTGATTGGCCAGGACACACTCGGACCCCTCAGACCAGTCCATGGGTCTGAAGAGACTGGGGCTCGGGGGTCGCTAGAGACCCTTCCTTACCTAGAAACCAGAATATCTTGCTAAAGAAGAAAGCAGACATCCCATGGGTCTGGGGGGCAGGGAGTGGGTGACAGAAACTGTTCCGCTGGCTGGGGCTCTCTCTCTTGGGGTGCACTGGGGGAGGAGGCGGACGCTATCAAACCTCATAGGCTCTGCAGGGTGGGGCCGGTGGCAAAGGCAGGCTGGACGTGCTGGACTCCAAGCCTGCTTTCCTGGAAGGAAGCGCCTTCCACCTCTTACGGGTTTTGGGGGGATCTTAGGGGAGCACAAGAGGATCACAGTGCAGACGGGCCCAAGTTGGATTAACCACAGCTGGAATCGGCGGTCACCCAATCAGCCTCGCAGCTGAGGGACCTCTGCCACCAGGGCTAGAGGTCAGGCTGTGGGCAGAGCTCCAGCCTGAGGTGCGGGCTGAGAGGGTTTCCGTGGCTCTGCCCGGCCGGGCACTGGGGGCTGGCTCTCTGGACAGTCTTTCAAGGGGAGCCGAGGGGACCTGGAGCCTCTGGCAGCTGCTGGACAGCGGATAAGAGCAGTTTCCATGGGGGATTCTTCAGGGGAGTCTAAGCGATTGGAAGCACTGAGCAGTTGGGGTGGGGGTGCAGCCGTCACTGTCACCGGGGAGGCCCCGGGTGTCACTGCCACAAGTCACCAGCCGCCGCCCCGTTTTCATTCTCGTGGAACTTGTGCAGGTGGTCGGCGAACCTGGGGTGCACGAGAAGCTTTGCTGAGGCCGAGCGTGTGTG